AAATATCAGTAGGCTTGGTATATTTAGTGAGGTGTGGTATGAATTTGATGAAATCTAGGCAAACTGGAGGTAGGATTTTTATGCTGAAAAATGTTATTGAATTTGAGCTCAATTTGAGCTCAATCTGATGGTTATGAAAGTATACATATTCCTGTAACATCCATTAGCTCCATTCATTTATTGCTATTTATCTAATCACATGCAAGCACTAATCCACAAGAGAGAGATTCTAATGAAAATTAAATTTTGAGCATAGTACCATTTAATGCAATTTAAACCAGATTTAAAGGGACAGATTCACCTTTTTCAGCGTGGGGGGTTGAATATATAATATATGTTAGTAGTCTTCAGAAGTGCTAGCAATGTACAAAAATTGCATAGTTCCTTAAAAACTACATAAAACTAGCAACTTTACTTTCTATTTCTATATAATGTCTTTTCGCAGAAAAGCTAGAAAAAAGCTAAAAAAAATTCTGTTTCTGAGACTAAAGTATGATTGGTCAAACAGATGGCAAGTCTGTCCCTTTAAGGTGTAATATTGCAAAGACAGAAAAAAAAGTTAATTAAAATACCACATTAGAGAATTATATATAATACTTAAACTTAGAGAGCAAAAAATGAGACTGTAAATATCACCACTAAAATTCAGGTGTCCATTTAGAAAAAGATAAAAACACATATATATAACAAACTAAAGCAAATTAATTAGTATTAAAATAAAATAGGTACTATGAATTACTAAAAACTAAAACTAACAATAAAGCTACAGGAAGGGAAGGAAACGGAATCTACCAAATCAGTCGAAAATAAGATACAGCTCTTGATATTTTCGTTTTTTTTTCACTTGGTTACTCTGTATCTATTTTCATCTGATTATAATATGAGTAATTGTGAAATTTAAAGTGGACACAAAGTGAACATGGTAAAAGCCAATTTTACAAATTATATAAGGTTCAATCTCTTTTATTGAATATTTTTTCATTTTTTTATGTGAATTAGAATATAAAAAGAGTGGCTTTGTAGATATATCAAATTATCACAAAAAGATTAGCTTTCATATTGACATTTAGAAATTTGTTTTAACAGAGGGAAATTTCAATCAAATAAATTTAATAAAATAACTGATAGTAACCAATAGACCATTAACAAAACAAAATATCTAGAGCTGTAAGTTTAAAATACACAGGGAAAATGAAGACAGAAATGCTTACTTTTCTAAATAGATAGTAGCTGAGAATTTCTTGTGAACAAACGGTTGTGCCGTTTTAGAAGAGTAGAAGCCATCTTTCCACGGCATAGGACTGACTACGGAATCTTTCACCTATCAAATGACATAGAGAACATTATCAGGTGATTTCTGTATTTGGCATGAAAATATTTGTACACTCTTAGTTCTTCAAAGGCAAGATAATGGTGAAAATTCCAGGGAAAAGCAAGCAACTACATATAGGTTATCATAGAGTTGGGCGATATATGAGATTTTTTGTGTATAGCGATAGGCTCAAATATCGTGATATAGAAAATTTTCAGAAATCAACAATTTGTAATGTTTTCCATCTTTTGGTTTTACCTTAATGTCATTTGTAAAGCTGTACCTTAATTCTACGACACAGTGTCAAATTGTCATGTAGAACGTGCGGCAAAATAAACAACCAATATGGCCATTGGTTGTTATACATAATACAATAGCATACATGATATTATTTCTATGCTTAATATATCCATATTATCATGTCTTTACTAAATTCCTAAACCATGTATCATTCTTTTAATATCTTATTAAAAAAAATACTAATGGGAAATCAACACAATACTTTGGTTTATAAGCAAAATTTAGACCATCATGCACAATAATAATATTTGCAGTGAAATTTAATATGAAATGAATGAAAAAAAGCCCTAGGATGATGTCCACATGTAAAAAATATTGTGCTGTGCCCAAAAATTTTTAAAAAAGAAATTGAAATTTGAATGATGATATTTTTTAAAAATACAGATAAAACATGTATGTTTAATGTTAAAAGACAACAACCAACTTAACATAATCAACACAAAATAGTCCACACAATTACCAAAAAGAACCAAATAAAAAGGAACCGTAAGTAACAACCCTAAATAAAACAAAGATTACAATTTTGGGTTTATGATACACTTTGATTGGTTACACAAAATGGCAATGGAATGAGAGTGTGGTAGAAAATTTGTTAGATCACAATGAAGGTGAAAATTATCAGGGAAGAAAAAAGAAAAATTGTAAAAAATTTCAATTACATTAGTAGCAACTATAACGATGGCATTGTCAAATGTAGTCCTATCATTATGAAGGGACAAGAGCAATAACTCTGTCCAAAAGTGCCAAATTTTTTTTGACTTTCAATTAGTGAATAATGTATATTACAAAGATGGTATCTTGTCAAGATGTAAGAAAAATGTTCGAGTTGGAGATTTCTTTATGAGGGAATCCACCTTTAAATATCAGAGGAATTATATAACAGGTTGCAAAAAGCAATAATTATTGCCCCACAGAAAATCAGACTGTTCCAAAATCTAATTGATTAAACAGATTTTAGCTGTCTGCACTTTGATGTAAAAATAAAACATGTTATGTATAATTGAGTATTGTACAAAAATCATAATAAACATTTGAAAGAAATATTTTACTAACAAAAGCCACATAGTAACATAAAACATTTTCAATACCTGGTACAATTGAAAATTGTGATTTTTTTCCAACTGTTTTTGATCAAAATAAAGTAGACATCTGTATAGGATATTTATCAATGGGTTGAATATAACTGATCAGAAGACTTATTTTTAGTTTTATTGTCAATTAAATGAAAAAATCAAACAGAAATAATTTTGTATCTGAAGCTTAAATTATCTAATGTTGTTTTTTTTTTTAAATGAAGTATGGTAATGCATTTTGATCAATAATCATCTTATGATTTTCAAAATTTCTTATTTTCATCTAACGCAGCATGTACCATAATGCAGTGCAGGGCATCTCTCTAATTCTATATTTCAGATAACAGTGCTGAAGAAAATCATACAGAGTTTTTACATGATTTGGTTTCGTATCTTAGTAAAAATTTTGACTTCGCAGTATATAATAAATTGGATTTTGATTAAGACATCATGAGTGGTTAAAATACAATAGTATTATGATGGTATCTATTAATAGAGAATATGCAAAATAAAATGATTGTTTTTAAGTGACTCACTGTTGTAAAATCTTGCAGAATTATAAAGGCATATTTATAAACCTTTAACTTTGTTTAAGTGTCTGATATCATTATGAGAATAAACATAAAATATCCACTTGTGAAAAGATATATGGGGCCAATACAATGGCAAAGCATCTAATTCTATTCTTTCTTTCATATTTATCTGTGTAGAAATCATTGCATACTTGCCCATTAAAGGCTTACTTTACAAATTGAAAAAAACAACATTTCTAGACAAAATACTACAATGTCAAAACTGCATCTGTCCCTTTTGTTTAGATCAAACATAACTATCTATCCCTTGGTGCAGAGTAGCCCTTTCTAAACACTCTTTACACAATGAGGAAGGCTTTCTCACAAAACATTATGATTACCTCATAATGAAGTTTAACCTGATCTACTAATCTAATGCCACCCAAAAGTTATGTCCAAAGGGAGGATATATGCACATCTGAATAAACAAAGATGACAAAGTTTCAAGGTCCTCTATTGTCTATGTGCCCATGCCTAAAAAGGTGTTGAAGAAATATTTCATAGATGGGATAATGTGCAGATTTCATTTATAGGGCCTACAAATTGTTCTTTTATCAATTGCCTCATCATAAAGATGGCTGCTCTTTTTAACTGTACCTGTCAAATGAATTGACTTCTGTTCCAGAAGGGGCAGATAACTCTCACACATGCCAATTATTGATTTTTTGGAAGAATGTGTATATGCAACCATGACAACAGCTTGTTGATAGTTAAGAGGGGAATATGAAAACTAAGGTAATCTTCTTAAACTTTCTTGGGCCTTTGCAAATCTGAATCTTCACAACAACCAAAAAATTATTGAATATGAAATTAATGAAACAAAAAAAAGAATCTTAATAAACATTTTAATCAATTAACGCAAACAAAGGAAAATTCCAATAAAATTTGATCAACCATTTTACAATTATGATATTGACTACATAAATTTGTTTATGATTATATACAAATAGTTCATATGTAACCCTTCTTAAGCTTGGCATAACCCTGTTTTTATTGGTTTTTTTGTCTTTATCACAACATAAAACAAAATAGTTAAAAAAAAAACAATTTGAATTTATCACAAAAGAAGCAGATATTTCTATCTTTTGGGTACTATATTTTATATAATATGGTACTTCTTTGCATGACTAGAAAATTTAATCCTGATTACCATTCATTATATTATGAAAAATTTAATATTTACAATTACATTAACTAATAATCAATTTCCAGGTTTAACTTGGAAAATATTTACAAAAAAACCATGAAATGACTTAATTTGGAAAATGTGTCCAAAACCACAGTCAATTTCCATCTCTCTTGTCAAAAATAATGTCAGGGTGGCCTTGACAGATTGAACGTCGTCAAAATCATTCCCAGGACCAGGTGCTTCTAACAAAAGAAACTTTTCAGAGACACATTCCTATACACAAAACTTTTTATCATGTTATTTGTAAATTTGGCTGCACAAGCCTGGATTTCTTGGGTAGGAGGATTTAAGTGTAACAAGATCCATAGTTATGATTTGACTACATTAATAAGAGCTTATATGTATAAAATTTGAGAACATTATGATTTTATGTAAACAACAAGTAACAATTATGAACAAAACAAAAAAAAACATCAAAAAGAAAAATACCACAAAACAAAAATAATGAATGCTTTGAAAATGAAATGAGAAAAATATCCATGCAATGAGACATGCTTTGCTCACTTTGAACCAAAAAAGCATCAATGTTTGAAATTGACCTTAACAAAACCATCCGCTTTCTGAACAATTCAAGTGTTTCTCAGAGCTCATTCTGTATTGATTTGATGGTAAGTTTAGTGTTTGGATAAGCAAAACTTGAGAACATTTGTATATAAGTGTTCAATTGGGAGGTCATGAGTGCTCTTATATGGCATTATGTCTTCAAAAGTACACAGCCTAATGAAGCAAATGGCCAATTTCAAAGAGTTATTACAAGTGCTCCACAACAAGAGTGTTGTTGAGCTAGTTTCAAGAACTTTGTGTGGTGATGGGTGTTTGGGTTTCAGAAATACACAACAAAGCTTCTACTACCTCGGCTTCTGATTCCGCTTGCCTTTCCTGATCTTGACGATATTGACGCTGCCTTTCTTCAAACTCTCGCAACCGTCTGTTATATTGTTCAATTTGTTCTCTTAATAAGGTTTGTTCCACCTGAAATCAGAAAGACCATCATGAGTTGGTAAAAACAAAATATAACATCTGCAATGCAACTGTTGCCAATAAAATGTCAGAGATAAAAGTTTCAATTATGTTTTTTATCAATCTATGCTTCCTTTGAAACATTTTGATGACTTTTTTGATTAATTTCGATTAAAAACTGAGCAACACATCTGCGTAACATGTGTAGCGCCAATGTTCAGACAAAAACGGTTGTATACAAATGGAAGGTGTAAAATTGGAACAAATAGAACATGAAGCACTTCAATGTCAGGAACCAACGTTCACTGGGGTCCATTTACAATTCCCAAGCCTGGCACCTGGACTTTTTTGTTTAATTAATGAAAAAAGGCAATGGGCAATTTAGATATGCATAATGAAATGATTAACTGGATAGGTGGGGCAGCTGAGTTTTCCATCATAGGGTTCCACAAAGACATAACCCTGGGGTGTGGCACATGAATGAAGGAAAAAATGAGAAAAATATCATCAGCTGCCATGCTTTCGCAGCTAACAAAGCAATTTTTAATTGGTTTGGTTTTCATAATGAATCTGTAGGCCTGAGAGCCAAGGTGCATATGGTTTGGAGCAGGCCACTTGCAAGAGATATTACATGATGCCTGTATTAAAGGTGATCACAGACATGGCAGCTGAGTTATACCAACTTTAGTAGTCAGCTATTGATTTTTTTCTTTGTCTTTTTGTTCCCATTGTTTGGCAGAAGTTTAATTTTCTTGTTTTGGAAAAGCCAACCTATGAGTAGAACGAGAAAGTGGGAGGCAAGCAGCCATCTGACGGGCGCTAAGAGCTCACATGTGTTGCTGAGGGTTTGTATCATGTAAAATTGTTTACTATATCTCACTTCTGCTTCCAAATTTCCCTTTGTTTCATTGTCTTAGAGCCTTTCTGCAGACTAACATGCCAGATGGAAGGATGCCAGGGTCAAAATGCACAAGTAATTGAGAGAGAGGGGTAAGAGGGGAGGTGTGTTTCCTATCACCATACATATCTGGAACACAAAAACCATTCAAAGTTTTCCTATTTCCCATATTACCCTACTGCAAGGATCCCCAAATGTAACATATGGCTCCATTAGCAGATTATTAAAGCCTTCACACATGTACATCAAAAAATAAGAGGGCTACATAGGCTCCACAGATTCCACACAGTAAGAAAGAACATGTTAGAATTGTGGTAACCCAAACCCATCTGTCAGCCTTATTGCTACCTCTTAATAATCTGGGCAATCTAAGAATCAAATATTGTTGAGAATTAAATAAAAATCTGTGATCAGGAAGAGAGTGCACATTAATTCCATCTCTTTCATTAAAACTTCTAATTGTGGCTTTTGGGGGAAGTAAGATTAAAAAGTTACTCAGAAATGGAAGACATCAACATGCTTGGAGCACAATACCACATCTTGGCACAAATCTGTTACACTAATAGACCCCATTGAAATTTGACAAAACCCCTCATTAGTAAACAGATTTTTGCATAAATATACTCTTTATGTTTGCACTGCTTCCAGTCGTTTTCAATTCAGAAAGGAAATAAGGTTACAAGGGCAGGAAAGTGAAACCCGGGAACATGTTGCGAGCCAGTAAAGATTCAAGCGATAACTTTTGTTCCTGATAGCATTCAAACTAAAATGAGCTCATTAATCTGAGGGATCCTTTTAAAGAAGTCTAATATTCTTCTCAAATGATTCAATTTGTGCCATTATGATGCTCAACTTTTAAAAGTGGTTGAATTAAGCGAAAAGTTTAATAATAATATGCCATATGCCCTGTGGTTTCATCTGAACTAGATTACATCACCGAAGCTACAATCCAAGTTCTAAATGCATTTTTCTTCTGCCTTGTTGCATGAAACCCATGTTAGCGTGCAATAATGTTTTCAATTAAGTGTGATTTGAATGCAGTTTAACACTGTATAGACCACCCTACTTGTTATCATCATTGTTTTCAGATCAAATCTGACAAATTAATTAGAAATTAACAATGTCACTTATGAAAAGTCACAAACTTTCACATTAACAACAAGGCATTCATTCCATTGAGTGATGAACATATAAGAATATGCAACATTTGTTCAAAAATCAATAATGCAAATTAGCCATTAATTTCTAGAAAAAAACTGAAGATCTCATGGAAAATAATACCAGTTCCTAAACAAACGTGTATGGAATTTTTTCAAGAAAAATTAATTTCATGTCATCTTTAGCAACAGATCAAAAAATGGCACAGCAGTCAACAAAAGGGTATCAAAGAACTTCAACTTTTTCCTCCAAATGAATCAGAAACCAAGTAATGTGGAAAGGCAATGTTTCAACTATAAAATCTTTATTTTGAATTTGGAGCCATTTTATACTATTTCTAATCTCCATTGACAAAAGACTTCCACAAAGGGCAACAATCAATGCTTTTATTTCTACAGTGCAGTTAGGAAATTTTATGGTGGTGCTTGCCATTAATTGTTCAGACACCTGCCCTATTAAAATAGCAAATCTAAGCTTTCTAACACTTTTTTCTTTTCCTATCTCTCATCTATTTCTTAATTTTGAGGTAACCTTCTTACAAACTTTTCTGCAAACAGACAGTAATATTCATGTGATGGAATGCAGAACATAAACTTTAACCATACTGACAAATAAAAATAATCTTTGGTTTAAGAAAATTTTCATCACCCCACTATTTGACACAACTATAATGCTTACAAATTAAACATCATAGGCTTCTTAATTTCTTAGTTCTTAAATTGATAGTGAAATTGGTAAACAGTTAAACGCAAAGAAAACAGTTCTGCATGTAATATGCAGTTCAGATTTCAGTTAATCTGACACTATTCTGTTCTGTAACATAGCATACATTGTATATTTCACAATATCTCAAATAGATTCACAAGGTTTTAGTACTTCTATGGGTATCTGCAATCTGTGACACTTAATGCTTGTATTTTCACAATCCTGATGACCTCTTTGAATGATTCCTGATATTTCTCCAAAACTTAACCATAGTACTGTAGAAAACCTCTTTTAAATCCTTTTTAAACATCTAAGATGCAAATTAAATGCCAACCATGCATTTTTTTACTGCTTAAATACTTTGACTTAAATTTCATTTTTCTTCAGATTTTTTTACACATTTGTAAATTTCTGTCTGATTCTAAATAGCTCAAAACAAATTCACTATGATTTCATACAAAACATTTAAATTAATATCTAACTCAAAACACTACTAATTCAACCTTCTTTATTAGAAAGTCATGCAAGACATCCATACTAAAAATCTGGCCTCCATGACAACCATAAAACTAACTGACCATCAACTAAAGATATCAAAGGTACCGGTATTTAGCTTTTGTTTAAGTATTTTTCATGTCTTGAAATTAAGTTTTAGCTTTGGCACGTCAATGTCAGACAGCATTGACAATACTTTGTGATTAATCCTACACACAATCCTTTCAGAATGAATAAAAATATTACCTCTGCTCTTTCAGCATCATATTCTAATGACCCTATACCATCTAATCTGTTTAATTCAATCCATCCCCTCCACAAAACACAGACACCATTCATTATAAACTGAGACTTAAGATGCACCTACAAAATATAATAAGTATACATGAAAATATTAAAACAAGAACCACAGTGTTAATTTTATAATAATAACTGATTTGGGCTGGTTTCCATGGATACAGGCAAGTTTCATTGAATCACTAAAATATATATTATCCTAGTGATATAACTTAGGTATTACAATAAAAAAAAATTTGCTAAATGGTCTCTCCCAAGAAGACAAACGAACGGACTAAGCTCAAGGGTGACATGAGATGCTAAGAAATGGTAAGCATTCCTCAACTCACCATATCAGCAGAAATTAAATAAAGATTTTGACTGTGAGTTCTTGGAATAAATCCTATTTTTTGGTGTGAAATTAAAGGATAATGCATAAAGTTCTATGTGAACTTCGTATTTCATTTTGGCTTTGAAGGTATAAAGCAGCTAGGCAGGTTTCCAGTTGGCATTTACAAGTTAATTTTGGGGTCTTATAAAAACAGAAAATTTGAGTTACAACCATATACTATGGAAATGGTCATGGAAAAAATAAACTTTTAAAATCTTGAATAACGTTATCAGCCTTTTAATATTTCAAATGCTTTGCTAATGACAATTAGCTAATTCAAGGCATAATTTATTTGAATACTGACAGATTTAAAACCAGTAGTAGCCTAATGTGTGTTACATAGACCAAAATTAAATTCATTAAAGAAAAAATTACATTGGAGCATTTTATGCCGGTACATGTTAGCCATTTTCTGATTTTCAAATTCTATTAGCATTCAGACATGTTTATCACATTTTACAGAAATTCCACAAGTATGCAACAGCTGTTGATACTAAAAGCTACATTGTGGTCTGTAGTAAACAAACCAATTTACTGTTGTATTTGTTTTTAACAGAACAATAATTAGAAAAATACGCAATTATCAATTCTGTAATTAAATGAACACATTCATGTTTCATTCGCGGTTAGTAATTTCGCATATCCATGATAAATTCGACAACTAAGAGTTGTTGATAAGTGAACCGCCTATTTTAACGTTGAGTTCATTCGATAACCTTTCTACTCCAGACAGTCATGTGACCAATACAATGTCAAGGTCGCAAAATTCCCCTTGCGTGGGCGGTTAAACCAAGTGTTACACTGTTCTGTTTATTAGGTCAAAACAGTGGTCAATATCCGTAAAATGACGTCAGTATTGCGTAATTTGATTACGAAGATATAGCATTATCATAATTACATTTTATACTGATATTTCATCAAGCGACAGTATTTCAAGCAAAATGTATGTAAATAAAATATAAGCTATCGTTTTTGATACAAATTACTTATTATCAAAATTGATAGGCCTATAAGCTAGGTCTTCAAAGCCGTTGTCTAGCAAGTACTAACGAGATATATAGCATACATTTTATTTTATGAGATTCTTTCTCCCAGTGTTCAATAAAACATTTCAGTTTTTTTCATTATTGTACAGTCATTTATGTTTGTTCATTCACATCATTAGAGGAACCAATCCTGCAATATGAAGTACATGAACCCTTTTCCGACTTTTGTTCACAATTAACGTCTCTTTTCGGCCTACGACTATGATAGAAATAATTCAATATAAACCCTATAAAGGGTATGTTGCTACTTTTAAAGGAGCGCCTTCACTAACCGTTCGACCAATCATACCTTAGTTTCAGAAAAAGGACTTTTTTTTATCTTCCATTATCAGTAATAGTGTTCACAGCTCATCGTCGAAATTTGAGCCTTCAAATCCATGTGTATCTATAATTATTCACGTTTGTATGAGACTATGCCATATACAGAAATAGACAAGGAAATTTCTAGTTTGAGGTATATTTGAAGGGATTATGCGATTTTCTTGCGTTTTAGTACTTCTTAAGACTATTAAAGCACAATAAAGATCCAAATCAATCCCCGAAAATGTTCCCCTTTAAACCGAAAGAGCTGATTCCCGTCTACTTTTCTAAAATTGGCCAGATTGGATTTGAAATTGAAAAAGTGAAGGTGGCAACACGGTTTTAAATTAAGACGGACATCTCATAAATAAGCCCCGTTATTTTTGATGAATTTTACCACGAACCCCTATGTGATGACATATTGCCTTATAAACATCTTTTCGAATCGACTGGCTAGTTTTAATTGAGTTGTGGACCCGACCCTATTCTCTATTAAACTTCCATTGTTACACGCTTGTATTGATAAAATTAGCAAATAAATGACCTAACGTAACGGAGACTTGATATCAAATTACTAGGCTTTCACTCAAACTCTTTTAAAAAATATAAAATTGTCATCTCGTTTGTAAGCTGACCCGTGGTTACTACACAAGAGGACAGATGGATGGTTGTAGTTTTCTAAGACCATCTAAATACTAATTAGGTCTTAGTTTTTCTGCTTCACGAACAAGACACAATACAAGGGTCAAAATAATGAAATTAAAAGTTCTGTTGGACAATTATTGCTTCTTGCTTCATTAGAAAGACATTATGGCTCTATTATGATAAGGTTTTTTTGAAAATTGACCCAAGTACCCTTCAAGATGGACATCAGGGACAGGAGTAGCTTGGACAGATTTTAATAGGAAATGTTGGTCGGAGAAACTTTTCATCTCATAAAGGGATGCCGTCGTTAAAAGCATACCAGTTGACCGAATTTTCAAGTTATAATTTCAATTACAGCGAGTTGCCTGTAAAATCCTGACAAATAATCGCTGCCATAGTAGTTTTCATTACCAAAATACAGTTCTCCAACAATTAAATAACAGAGCTTTCGTAACCGGAAGTGTTGGAAGTTAAAATTAGTCTCGTTTTTCCAGTTTACCATTACTCAAGTTGTTTACCGATATTTCTCCACCCTACAGTCCAGATGTAGCATTTTAAATGTAAAACATCTATCGCCTAACTAAGTAAATATCACACCATTCGTTTCCAAAATAAATATTGTGTATTTTTTCTATGTCGAAACAGCTGCAGGTCAAACTCGACATGAAAACGTCGTGACGCATCGCAATCGTTAATCATTTTTCCTAAAAACATTAAAAAGACCAATTCCGTATATATTATGTGCCTCAGAGAGTTGCGGTTTCACATAACATTCATATAAAAGCATCTAATTTTATTTTTTCTGTTTTATTTGACTGTAATGAGGTTATCTGAACTTTTTAGCATAAATTTGCGATTCCACTAAAACTGAGTGTTTGATGACGTCACTAATCACAAAATATGTGAATACACAAGTGTCCCTGATACACATAAACAATTTAGAAAACCTCTTTACAATCCATTTAGAACAAAAAAAAATAAGACCTGTCTTTAAGAGTCAACAAGTTTCGTGTATAAAGGTATAATATGACGTGTTTGGGTTTTTGAATTGCAATTTAAGTTACATGGGCTTGGGCGGATTAAAACTTGAAAGTATAAAGTGAACAATCCCTTAAACTTGACACTTCCTAAATATGCATTTGTGACAAATGTCGCACGACTAAATTTGGCGCTTATAGTATTTAAGGAGGGTGAAAAAGGTTGTTTCGACGTCACTCGATCAATTTTGTTTACTTGTGGTATATGGCTGTCAAACTCTTGTCTGTATAGTAAGTTAATTCAACAACCAAACACCAAAGTTCAAATTTAAATTTAAAAAAAGATCTACTTTCATACAGACTGCAACTTTTTTCTGTCTTCTAATACATTAACCTTATCTTGTAAACTTTTGAATACTGATCAAACAATTTGTTCCCTTGGCTTATTACATGTTTAAATGGACAAGTGCCCCATTTAGAGGGGTTGATTTGAGCCTTGAATATATGTAAATAGTCTTCAGAAGTACTAGAAATGTACGAAAATCGCATTATTCCTTTAAAACTACCTCAAACTAGGAATTTTACTCAATTTTTCTATATATGTATTTTCTATATATCAAATTGACGAGTCGTCATTTTAACATTTAAACACAGATAATTCTGGACACACATGGATTTGAAGGCTCAAATTTAGTCGGTGAGCTGTGAACACTATTACCGTTTCTGAGTATGATTGGTCAAAAAGAATGGCACATCTGTCCCTTTAATGGTTAATGCAACTATACGAAACTCCTTTAAAAAAAAATTCTGGTGAATAAGTTTCCAATAGCACTTATATATTATCTCAGATGCCCATTATCCTTGGTGAAGCAATATGCACCAATTATATCGTTATTGCTATGTATGGGACTAAGAAGTCCCAGTTCTTTGTTTTGCTTTAAACCAGAAAGTGAATTTCCTAATTTTTGTTGAGAATCTAATTTTCAGAGAATCACATGACAATTGCAAAATGCTCCTAACGTTTTGTGGTGGGTTTTTTTCGATCGCCTTTGTCCACTATAACCATTCTTATAACCGTCGCTTTTGAAGAATGCAAACAACATATTCGAAGGACTAGGATTATTTTATTAAAATTTAATTTGGCTTTATGAGTATGGGCACAACATTCCGTAATTTAAAAACCACTGTTATTTCTCTAAGAAAATAAGCTTGAGGAGAAGAAAATCTTATAAAGAAACCTACGCTAATAAAATAAATATTCAAATCTAAATGTCAGATGGTTGTTTATCAGCACGAAAAACAAACAACAACAAACCTACGCTCGTATACTTCAAGTAATATTGGCCCAGGTCATGATTTTTCCGTTGTTTTTAATATTTGATTTAATATGACATTTTTAATTTTGTTGAATTTAAGAACATGACGGTGATGAAATACATAGAATTTGTCCCAACTTAGTATATTTATGCATTTTAATCAGCTTTGAAGAACAAAGGTATCGTTAACATTCCTGGCATATAATATAATTACATCACCGATACAATATGTTCACAATTTTAAGACGAAAAAGTTAAATTTTTTTTTAAATTTACGGCTAAAATGGTCATGTTCTGCGATTTCCAAAAGCGAAGAGGAAACATTATATTATTTTCAGGGTAATGACGTCATAACTACATATTATGATTAGAAATACATAATATGAAGGAAGTGGGATGATTAGTGCCTCTGAATGGCATGAGATAAATCTAGTATATTTCCATCACTCTCTACTTGCAATTACAAACCTCGCATTTTTTTTTAGCGCTTTTTAAATAACAAATAGTCTAAATGGCATAGCTAAATTTCAGCTCAAGCATTTATCTCATCACTCCTTTGATAAAAAGCTAATAACAAACGAAATTATGCTTGAATTTGAATTTATCAAAGTTCGTGACTTGCTGTATAAGGTATAAAGAGTTGATTTATATTATTAATATTATTTCAAATAAAGGCAATTATCACTTAAATGATAATTGTTATTTTTGGATATAACTATTTCATAAACAGATGGTTTTGGGATAATTTTATGATCTATGATGTTGGTATATTTATTAGTATTAAGTATCAAAGATAAAAATTTTGATGAAAATTTGCGCCATCAAAGGCAGTGATTTTTAGTTGACAGTGGACTATATAAGTTTCAAAGTGTATAGTTCGGCTAAATTTGTAATTCGTAAAAGGAAAAACCGCATCACTTATTTTTTTTTCAATATTTTTCTTGTTAATTATATAATATTATATAATAATATTCAGGATGTATTGCTCTCTAATTATATTTGTTTATTCAATATATAAACCACCAATTTAGTTCGTTACTCAAATATCTGCCTTACTTCTATAAGCAAATCAATTCTACTAAATGTTAATTTGTTAGAAATTTGGTGATATTGGTTGAAAAGTTTTGTTGAATGCTAAATGACTCCACTACGGTAAAACATGTATGAAACTCCGGTGACTCATTTTAGGCCTGCAGCTCATCCCTAACAACCTTTTGGCCAGATTGGTCAAATCAGCTAAATAAATTCTTGAGCCACTCCTTTTAATCAAATTCCTTTCTTCACGGTCATACAATAAAAACATTGGCCTGGTCGTTATTGTAAACAATCACCGCGGAACATTGTAAAGCTGGATTTCAGATAATTTTGGGGGGTTTGGTGGATATTTCAGATATTTACATAAAAATGATATTCAATATTAAATTGAAAATTGCCGATACAAAAATCGATTGTCGTTTTGAGATTAGTCACAAGAGTTATTTCCCTTCTTCTAAAACTTTTTTTTAGTATTAAATAATGAGATTTACTTTTTTTACCACACCAAAAGTCATGTTGTAACACAATAGTAAGTTTGAAACAAAGTAATGACTTGCAGAAAGAATGGCCAAGTTTTCTTGATGCAAAGATTGTATGACCATTGATTTCAATACCAATGGACACTGCATCGCGTCAAGAAAAACATATTCAATTAAGACTGACCGAAAAAAATTAGTTTGTAGGTGAACTGGACATTGAAAAAATTGGACTGAAGCTTCTAAAATATGGTCTTACCTTTCCAGGTTCTCGTTCAAAATCCACAAAGTCCCTTGTAGGTACTCTGTCTTCTGGTTTATCCGACCAAGCGTTGGAGGCAAAGCTTAACTGTAAATTGGTACCTGTTGCAATGAAAGCCTGAAAGATACAAAAAAGTAAAACTATATGAGATCTGGCTGTGTAAGTATTATTAAACGGGTAATCTGACACAGTATTTGCTAAGCCTCATTCAGTTCATTACGGTTTTCTTGATGACACTTATTTCTGTTCAATGCCAGTCAAAGTCGTTATTACGCAACTGTTATAATGATAGACAAAAAAGGATCATTGACCTGTTTTCAAGAGGATAGTTTTGAATGACAATTTAAGTCAATTTTAAGGGGTCCCATGGATCCATATTGCGGTCTGTTTGATGCTAAAATAACTAAAAAACTAAACCATTCCAATTTTCATCCAGACTTCCCTTTTGGAATAGTGACGGAATACATATACAGATAAGCATTTCTATAATTACAGGAACCTGATAGGACCACGGATATCTGACAGTAAATTGTAATGATGCAAATAGAAGCCATAATTGTTCCCAATACAGATAAAAGAAACTTAGAAAACCCCTTTATATTCCCTTTAAAGGAAATCAGTACAGTGTCTTTAAGATTATCGAGATTGAAATTATTCGAAAGTTCATATCGGTCAGAAATATGCTTTTTTCTGCTCGATTATTCCAAAGACCACGTTCGACTCACATATCATCATAACACAGGAAATCTATTTTAAAGTGTTTATTTCTATCATGTCGTGTTGATTGATTGCGAAATGACAGAACAGAGACTGTGGTAAAATGAGATATAGAGATATTTTTACCTGATCACAATTTCTGAAAACTGTCACGACTTTTACAATCAAATTACTACGATAACAATTTAATGCCGAAAACCATTGCTCAATCTTTTTAGATTCTGTTTTTTAATAAAAAATATTCTTTTTCTTTTATGATATTCTGTTTCGCTTAGTTCTTATTATATCTATTATGTCACAATATTGGCAAGTTTATGAATGACTTATTGTAATCTACGGCGGGGGCATGGCATGGCTAGGGTCAGATTTTGTAATACCATGATATACGTTCCTAGTGTTACGATTATGTAAGTCTAGATAGGCTTATGTATATCAAAACACAAGGACTGTACAGGATGAATGAAAATTTTGAATAACCTTTAATGACGTCATCAATTCCATAACTAAATAAAGATTTCACCCTTTTCTATTAAAAACCACAATTATAACCAATAGCATGTTTCAGTTCTTGAAAGTCTTCGATTTTAGAATTCATTCATTTTTTCTGAGAAAAAAAATGACCTTGAAGTTGTGTATGTTTTTACATATAGTGAGTCCATTGATATTATGAATCCGACTTGTTAGGCTTATATTGATGTCTATTGGAATATTCTACTGAATATTGGATTATTGGCGTAGATTTAATTAAAATTGTATCATTACATGTAATGAGTGTAATATTAAACGTTATTGAAATAAGGATATTGTTTAAGAAAGAATCATGACATTATCTATTTCTATATGTTTATTTATTTTTCTGTGTATCATGTTTTGAAACCTTTTTGACAAAGGTTAATATAAGTTCAGGACCAGTTCAAACTTCTTAAGACGATGCCATTTAATAAACAATGCCTTACAAATCGACAGGTAATGGCGATTTTCGCAGAAAAGTTCCCGTCAATTGAAAAATTAAAATATCACTCAGCCCAGATTACATAGAGTTTGAGTATTAAAATCACATTCAAATTGAAAATTGACCCCCACCCCCTCTCCGTTTCTAATTTATACCATTACTAAAAAGGTACATTAACAAAGGTATAAGCCATGTAGGCTATATATATGGCTAAGACTGATTAGTGCGATGAGAAAACTTTTTCAAATAACCGACATCCTGACAAATACAGGCCTCAATGGTCAAATGGTTAAAACGTTGCTTAGACATCTTCAGAAAAACGTCTATATGCTCAAAGTTGTCCAACAAAGACATTTATTGTTGAAGTCGATATCGAGATCTCAATGTCAAATATCCCTGCCCTTTGTTGATTTTTACTAAAATTTCCAGATTGATAGCCTATCTGCTGCATAAAATTCCAAATTATATAATACATAAAACATAGTATGTAAAACAGAAAGTTGATTTGAGTTGTTAAATTTTAGTTATATCAAAATGCTAAAAGACTAAAATGGCAGATCTTAGATAATAAAATTATAAAAATACAGCACCAACCTTGGCATTGACATTAATGGTTCAATATCAAGAGATTTTGCAACAATTTTCGAAAAAAAATAGGAATACTGCGACTTTTGATAATGAAATCTTTTAGTTTAACGTTTACAAAGAATCGTAATTTCTTGGAGGCATTCATACATCAATCAAAAGAGGCGAGTCGCAGTTCACAAAAGTAATATATGGCAGATAAATGCTTTAGATGCAGAAAAATAATCAGAATATTCAATATGATTCAAAAGAGGTTTTCCGGTCTTTGACACACATATATCTTCTGTCTTCAACTATTCGGTGTTTCCGCCCGTTGTTTTTGGTACCAGTAAAGTTTTTGAATATTATATATTTTGACAATTCGGTTTAGTAGGCAAAATGTAGAATAAATTGCGACAAACGGACAGATTATTATCAGGTACTCTTTTTGTAAGATTCAGTAAAATGACTTTCGATATGAAGGCAAGATAATAAATATTTCCTAGAAATGTTTCCGGGATCCGCCCCCGGCAGTATCGGAGATTAAAGTGTCGAACGATGACATAATCGAAAGTAGGGGCCAAAGTACATTATGAACGTTCGAATTCCTCATAACTCCCTGTTGGAACCGGCGACTTTGGCGATATTGGCCTACGTGAAATTGAAGATACGGTAATTTTGATATCTTTTGGGGGGGATTTCGGACGATCTCCCCATAACATTCGAGAAAGTTATCAGACTTTTGTCAGGAGAAGTGTCTACATTCTTGGAGAAGAGTCTATACGGTCTTGACCAAGGCTTGTCGGATCCCACTTATCGATTCCTATATATTGGTCAAAAGGCATAGAGAGCAATAATGGTGTCATGGGGTGCATTAGTCAAAATAAGACAGTTTCGATTTTGACGTTTCCTCATCATTCTGAGTCTATTGGTGTCATTAAAATGGGGGCAAGGTTATTTGTTTTAAAGTTCCCGGGTCACTTGGATAAGCATTTCAGAAGATTTATGACCCGTTTCATGACATAATACTAATCTAAACTCAGTGGTTTAACAGTTTGTATGTCGTAAAAGAGCGCACCCTTTTTATATGAGTAATTGCTTCGGTGTAAGTTTGTACTTGTTGCCATACTTAGTACATGTATGTAGGATACGTCATCGACTGGGAAGTTAAGTGGGCCTACCCGGTAATAGAAAATTGATTAATAAAAACTTTGACTTACTATATCGGCGTGTCCTTCTCGGCATTCGGTTTGAAACCGTAATTGCCTCTCCTCGTGGGGTCGATCTCTAAATCCTGTGTATCGCACCTGTAAGAAAAGTAATCCATAGTAAAACACAAAAACTTTTTCGACACTTTTTGACGCTATTCCAAATCCGCGTTGAAACATTCGGCCGAAATAGTATAGAACAATAAACAGAACTTTAATCCGAGTTATCGTAACACCTTACCTCACACTCGCGACTAAGTTTCCGAAATAGTTCATCATTTTCAAATTTTGCCCTCTGATCAGGTACTACCCTGGGCATTATGGAATAATTATTCTCACTAACTTCACAACACAACGTGCTCGCCACAAATGATAACATATTTCCTTCTCTCACTTCATTCATTACTAGTCAACAACAATAAGCGTGACAGTACCGAAAACATTCCTTCGATTTGATTGGTCAGCGTAAATTGACACGTTATTTTCCCGAAGAATACCGAGGATATCCGATGACCATATTTGGTGATTCTCGTTTACGGAAATGCTACGTCACAGTTTACGAATCAATATGATTGGTCACCGAGTTGTTTATTCCGCCCACACCCTTATTTGGAACATTCCGTCACCTACTACATTATTCATTGATCCATATTTGGCTGTACGTGACCTAGTTACCTGATAAACATAGTGATATGGTCGTATCAGCTGAGTGTTTGTAAAATGTTATAGTAGCTAGCCTGTCTGTTACGAGAGAAACAGTAGACCGACAGTTATTGATCTGGAAGCATTAGCGCGCTATCAAACAAATATCCACCTACGTTCAACGTTTATAGTAATAGGTTTGACATGAAAAGTAGCCGATGTTGTGGTTTATCGGAAATGCTGTCGAGCTATTTACTATTTCGTAAGATTAATGTGTTAGTTTTCAACAATATTTTAACTTGAGCATGGAATATGGGTGGTAATTAAGAATTTTCTACTACCACGGGATTTGTCCCAATTATTTTGTTTATCAATGTTTTATAATAAAGTATATTTTTTAGTACAAGTACTATGTGCTAATAATCTAAATAACAGAAGGCGATGAGCGAGCTGACCCAATAACAGAATGTGTCACTGATAACACTATTATTTACCTATAGTCAGGCGTGCAATGGAAAATATTACTTCCTTTGCGATGAACAGTATTGAAATTAAACCACAGCGGAAGCGGCATAGGCGCAATTCTCCATTTGAGGATCTGAGCGGTTCCCCCTTTCCCGAGAAAACTTTGAAAAGTAGAATTCATTTGGTGTGTTGTGGTACAAATTTTGGTGATAAAGTATTTAAATCACGTTTTTACAGTTCTTACTAATGAAGGGAGGGTCCAATATTTGGGGTATTTTGGGCAAATATCCCCCCTCCTTTTTCCTGTACCCCTACTGCTCGCCACTTTAATCGGTATAATGTGAAAGGTCTTCTCTCGAAAAGCATACCGTTTGCGATTTGAAATCAAATTAACGTGTAGAGGGTTCACTTTGGAATTGATGGCAAATGTTTGCTTTAGGAAATTAATGCTACAGCTCAGTTTCTGCTACCTGTATCACGACATTAATATCCGACGTCAGGTTTCCTATAATTAAACAAAAAACCTATACCACGGGAGTTTACTATAGGTCTATATAGCTATTATACAATTCTCACGTATGCAGTTATTAGCGATGACGTCAATGTATGCATTGATAAATCTGATCATAGAAGCGTTTTATAATCTGACGACAGTCTATAGAAATATTCCACGGACTATTTGACTAAATTATAAGGGAATCGAATTCGAATTATAATTCTGAAAAGTGATACGAATAAGCTTTTATTGAGCTTTAACCGATGAAACAGAATATATGACTTCGTGACTACCATTGGTCTAGGCCTACCATAAATTGAAATATATTTGTGCATCTTTGATCTGCCTACGTGTCTCTTACGATCTGAACATTTTTTTAGGGTCATTGTCATTCATTAAAATGGCTTAGCCAACCAAATCACTTACGCTCAATCGTTATCCCACTCGAAAAGGCACACTTATTCACACAAAAACTAGGGCAAAAATGTGATTGCTTTATGACATAATTGCGAAATATAGGATGGTGAATAGTAACCAATAATAACAAGTGATAAACCGTTATATCAATTGATCACTATCAAACAAAAGAGATGTTATCTATATATTTGTAGGATTAATTGCGAAGTAGTATTCTATATAACCTGCATAATTATATTTCATACAATAGTCAACCACACAGATATTTTGTTCCACTGTCCTGAAATATGTTCCTTTGCGCTATATGAACTCCTTGATTATATATAACATCCTTTGAAATACATGAGTACGTCTTTGTCTAAGGGACGTGACTTTCAAAGATACATATATGCGAACTTTCAAAAAAAAAAAAAACTAAATATGAGACCACAATGATTTGTTCGCTACATATATTAAAGGGATAGGTTCACCATTAATTTGGCCAATCGTACCTCAGTCTCAGAAACGGGATTTTTTTTGGCTAAGCTAACCAGTAATAGTATTCACAGCCCACCTTCGCAATTTGAGCCTTCAAATCCAAGTGTGTCTAGAACGCTAAAAAGACGACTCGTATTTTCTGGAGTCAACGTCTTGTAATAGAAAAGACATTCATAGAAATAGAAGGTTAAATTCCAAGCTTGAAGTGTTTTGTGCAATTTCCGTACATTTCTGGTACTTCTGAAAATTATTTTCTTATATTCAAGGCCCAAAACATCAACCGAAAATGGCGAACTTGTCCCTTTAATTTTGTATAGTGTCGGAAGCCACTGCAAGGGCGTAGGCCAGGAAATTGAGTGCAGGATGCGGACAAATAAGCCACGTTTACAATACCAAAAGAATTGGCTTGCTAAAAGTCCGAACCAAGACAATCTCTGCTTGCCTTACTTAGGACAAGCGTTGTGCCAAGCACTCTCGGCCTGATTTTCACTGACATTTTTCTGTCGAACTGTAATCAAGCCGGACTTAGCACGGATACCTTGTGGTGTGATCATAGAATATGGCGCTTTGTCAATGCTTTATTAACTTTGCTGTAAATCATGCATTCGATTCTGATATAGGTCTCGTTCGATACCAAACCATATAGTTTATATTCCATTGTTTAAAACTCGGTAATCTCAGTATGGAACCATGACTGCGAAATACAGTTAAGTTTTAAAAACGCAAATGCCTACGTGAGTTGGTATAATAAACGAGTTTTGAAATCTTTCACAACTTTCAGTATGATTCATATTTACGCATTTTAAACGCAAGTTTAAGGTTAACTTGGAATTGCTTAAATTGATGGCACGTGCAGAGTTTACCTTATCCATGTAATTCCAAAATGGCACAATTGCAACCTAATTACGAAATAACCAGAATGGGTTATTAAGTCTTAGTTTCAAGTCGTTGGCTGGGGGCGTGTTGAAACATCGTGAACATTTAATAAGAATTAATAACTGTTCATAAAATTACAGTGCTGTCAATCAGCATGAAGGTTTAAGTAACCAAAGTCGCCACATTGTAAGAAGGGTTAAAGGAATAGTCCTAGGTTCAGCCAATGCAGTCACCAGCAGTCGCCAGGAATGAATTGGTGCTGAGGCTTAGAATTTGTACTCAGAGAATGTGAAGAATTAAAGGCCCAGAGAACTCATTTCTGACAATTTGTGGTGACAATCAATGATTGATGAATCAATTTCTTCTGCACTGAAGAACGTTTTATTGGGGCTTAATTCTCGCTTGCTGGGGCCCAGCCCCCATTTACGCCACCCTAACGACGGGGCTGCCTGGTAACCCGTGCTTAGGTAAATATGATCAGAATAATAAACGGTTTATCCGAATTATGATATGAAAGGATTAATGATATTCCGAATATTGATATAGTACGAATTCGAATTCATCTTGTCTTAAATGCCAATTAAGAATTAACGTATATCATTAGATAAATTGAGCTAATACGTGTATTATTTCAAGGCATTTCCTATCTGAATATCTCCATTTAAAAAGATAAAAGAACGGTCCATCATGTAAGCATATATCTTCTACAGGTGGATTTTTCACAAACGAAATGACAATTGAACGGAAATCACTCTATATCTATCAAAAACAGTCCTATTTCTTTATAAAATGTTAACTAGTTTATTTCATTGTCCTAGGGCGGAAACGTGGACTACCACATCAGACAATTTAAACCACAGTAGAAAATTGAAGTGGTGTGGAATAATTGATAATATAGCATTTTTTGTTTCTTTTTCAAAGTTAAGCAACAAAACACGGTTTGATGAAGTATGTGCTTATTTTTCTTGTTAATCTTCAGCAATAAGATGCATGTTGCTCGACACGCGCTTGCACACGCTCTGTCGGTGGGACGTCCGAAGTGGACGGAAAATGAGAATGAACTTGTAATCAGTTATCGTCTCAGATGTCGACAGCAAGTGATAGATTAAATTCTAATAAGATTAAAAAAAAGTCTGCTTGGTTTAATTCGTACCAGGATTAGTACTTAGTCCAAATTTTCAACCTATTTGCTCAGCTTGTAAACTTAAATTATGACTAGAATAATAAAAATAAAATATATCCTTCATTCTGTACATTACTTTGTGCAATTTTATTTCGGCTATCCGCCGGTCTATCTCTGCAAAGGCTGAGAGTTATACGTTCCGTTCGTCTACAATTAAATGATAACGGACAGGTGAAAGTAACGACAATCTAAGTTTCCAGACCGTTTTTGCTTTCTACCTTAAAATGCGCCTATAATATTTCTTAAGATGTCCTATTATCTGGAAGATAATTGATAATGCCACGCATTCTGCACTTTCAAAAGAATCAACCTTCATCTTCCGACGTTTCGTAGGCTAAACAGTTTAACAACATTCTCTATGTTTATATCCTTAGGCCTGATACTGATTATTATTAACGACCATTGCAACATGTCTTGAATTTTGTAATTCCGGACTACGCGCTCATAATTATTTTTTTTTAAGTATAACTCCGCACGTGAAAAATCGACATATTATCATTATGTCTGGATATACTGTCTATCTGTTTTTTCATCCAGTCTTAAGTTAATTCGGTCACAAAACGGAAATAAAACTTATCAGCGCATGCGCACATATAGAAAAACAAAATGGCGTTGTGATTAAGAAATAAATGTAAACATTTGTTTTAAGTCATGACAAAAACAAATACATATTGCTTTTTAAATTAAATGCAAAGTCAGATAATTATTTAAATCCCATTCAACATGCTTGACCTTGAAGTTGTTCCAGAAAGATCCCTGGGAAACGAACAATGGGAGTTTGTTTTGGGTAAGTTTTCTATTCATTTTCCAGAGCAAAAACGAAGCCAATTTATTATTGCGCATAACGTCATCATTTTGCATTATGGAAATGATTTATGCAGTGTTCTTACACTAATCTCTTGCTGGGATTCTAGTTTAAATTGCATAAACTAATTGGTGCCACTCGAATCCATAAGTTATTACAATTTTGGTAGGCCTGTATTCGTTACATGTCAACTTAGGTCCTGACAACAATATAGAGATGATCTATTTATAGAAAAAAGTAATACTGCCCTGCCCTACTTTCCTTAGATATGATCAGCTGTTTAAATAGTATTATGGTCAACTTATATGTATCTAGGAAAGGTCAACCCTTCCCAGTAGGCTATTTCAAGATCTATAGACTTGATTAACATTAAAAGAGCTAAATTGTTTCAATACAGTAGCTTATATTCCAAAAAGTATGATTGTTTTTTGGGGTAGAGGTTAGTCTGAACCACCTGCCTCTCAGCCTTTTGATAGTTGTGCAGGGCTTTTCAACCTATTTTTATTGAATTTGCATTATCCAAATCCTGATTTATTCAGAAAGATGGTTCGGTCATACCATCGTTTTCCTCCTACACCACTTATGTCAAGTGTGCAGCTCCATTATTCAAATACGTAGTTGGTTCTGTTCCTGCCATCTTCTATCCATACAAAGTTACTGTCAGTAGTTACTGTAATTAACTTTGTTGACAAGATTTTTTGGTCTAATTGTGAACTTCACGTATAGAACATATCCACACACAACTCAATTTCAACACCTAGTTATTTTTTTTATTGCAAACTTAAGACCAATAGGAGAGTAATTAAAATTATGAAATGTTCTCAGCCATTTTCATGAAGACCGTCAGAAATGTGCATAACTGTCATGAACTTTCACACAGACTGTCTTCCGATGCAATAAGGGATGATGCTGGACCCAGTTTGGTATACATAGTATAACACAGAGTCCATGCCTTGTCTAAGGTTCATCAAATGTTATTTTGAATGTAAAATACTAACAAAAGATATCGTACTGGTATCGGGTACCAGTATATTGTGGGTGACCGCTTGAAACCTCATATAATGATAAATGATGCGAAACTACTTTTCGAGAAAAATGCAAAAAACTATTTGAAGTCGTATTTTGTTAAAATCTTTTTACCATTTCTTTTACCGCTATACATGGTTTTCATTCTTTGAAAATTTAAACCTTGTATAACAATTTAGAGTACTCCGGCCCATTCAACCAATAACTCGTATAATAGTACAGTATACAAGGTTTTTCGTTTTCATCCGCAAAAAAAGAAAAACCTCGTATAATATAATATTTTATGAGGTTCTAAATCTGACTGTTTATATATACGTGTTATTTAATTAGTGGTTTTTGGGTTATTTACAATCAAGCTAAGTATAAGAGATTTTGATTATAAGATCCGCGCTTTTACGAGCTTTCGAACGGTACTAAAATGTCAAAATGACCAAATGTGGCATATACGAGGTTTCAAGCGGTCACCCACGATATGTAGTATTATGAAAATACAGTTTAAATTTGCATAACTGTCAAAAGTACTGTAAGAGGACAGTGAAACCAACTTGTGCCTCGCAAGTAACATTCTCTTATAAGCTTATACAGCTATTACAGGCCAGTACAGGACCACAGTGCTAACTTCAAAGTATTTTTTGTTGTATTGAAGGAGAACTTTTGAATTTTGATTGTATAAAGGTCCGTTAATTTTAGATTGTTAGATTTCGACAAGGGGAGGGTTTGATACACATGAAATCAGGCCATGTCTTTTTGAACATCCTTATTCATTTGAATCAACCTTTTGTGTATAAATAGAGGCTTATTCAAGATTCTTTCAAGTGGTTTTCAAAAATATACTTCTGGTATATCACTAAAAGTATTTATTTTTTTTAATCTGTTTTCACAGTTTAGCATTGGTAATTGTTATATTTTCAATAAGACCTTTTGTCTATAAATTTATTCAAGATTTTTAAAAACAAATGCCTAAAATTTATAGTTTTTTTTAAATCTGTTTTCGAATTTTGCATTGCTAAATCGATAATATGTAATAGTTAGTTATATTTTTAATAATACTAGTTGTGTATTGTAACAGATGGCTTTGATAATCTATATAGTCACATAGTGACGTTTGTGATACTAAATGAATTGACATTGTGATTCAAAATGAATTGACGTATGTATTAGAAATTACGCTATGCAATTATAGGATAATTTTAACTGTGACATATGTTATGTGGTATTAAATGATATGAATGGATATGTAGCATCATTGTTCTTTCATTTGAATATATGACGTACTATTGTGTAGTATGATTAAATTGATAAATTTGATATATTCATTGTTTTAATATATGCATCATTGAATTTATTTGTTCTCTTTGGTTTGGGTGACGTATTTGTTTTCAGAGATGTAGCTTAACCTAACCAACCGATAACTGTCAGGCATTGGTGTTGATATGGATGGCATATTGTACTTACTGGCCTTTTGATCACTCTAGAATCATTGCTGATATCTGCTTTATTATAAATAACGCTTTCAATAACACTGAGAATGGTGTTAATCTTGATGGTCTTTCAAACATCAAATAAATACTGTTTTTGTCTTGTCAACTGTTTCACCCACCAGCTGCAGGCACATGAGGAGAAAAAATTAGGCTATGTCAATAATCACGAGATGATCGTGCTAATTGAAGTGAAAATGAATCTGATTGGATGAGTCCAATGAAGGAAACAATTGGCAGCGAGAAACAAATCCGAATATCAAACTAGTTTGATGTTTAAAATCCTAGTTGAAATGCAATAATCTTGTTGTGGTAAAGCAGACACAATGAAATTTTACTCAAGATTCGCATTGGCGACCAAAACTAGTTGCCTGCATCATTACTAAATGGTAAATTGTTTGCATGGTAAATTTTTTCAATGACATTAGGAATAGTACCAATCTAGATTGTTTTAACCCTTTGAACCCTGAGTGTAAAAGAAATACAACGTCATATTCCCTGAACTCCAAGTAATAAAAGTTAAAGCGTATGACGTTAACGTTGTATGACGTCACTTAGCAACTGCCGGTATACCGGCTGGTCAGGTATATATTGCGTTAGTGTTTGGCCGGTATACCGGCTGCTAGGGTTGAAAGGGTATGCTGATCACAGTTTAACATTCCAAAAGAAATAATTTTATTGCTCGTACTCTCATATTTGGGTGCAAAAATATGTCATCTCTAGGAGTAAATCATACTTAGGTCTGAGAAATGTGAATTATTTCCCTAAACTAATCAGTAATGATGTTCACAGCTTACTGTCAAAATACAAATGAATTCATAATTATGTTTTTTAATGAGACTTTTCATATTGAATATTCATTGATATTGTCATGTGTATACAATCATGCTGCAGTTTGTCTACGTACAGCTGTAACAGAAAATGTTTTGGCTTCAGAGACTATATCAGCAACTTGTGGATACCCAAAATTTCGGAGAGGATAAGCTTGTTAACGAAATGAATAAAAAGTTGAATTTCTTGTTTGAGGTCTATTTGGAAGAATATCTTACACTAGATTGAAGTCAACTCTAGAAAACGTCACACCTGACCCTTTAAAAAAGAATGTTTTCAACATTGAGTTAATAAATAATAGGAATGATGATTTAGAACCATGAGAATCTTTCCTATATGAAGATATATGTAATGATTTTAGTTTCATAAGACTATATTAAGAAATCATTGTAAGTGATACGATTAAAAGCACATTAGTTTCTCTACAAACTTGTTGGCTAGTTGTTCTGTAAACTCAATATAACCTTTACTTCAAATCAGTATAAAATTCATGTGACACAATTTTACGTATTTATGATTTTTTTCTGAATATTTAATTGATATTTTAACTAACTTGTGTTTCATGTTGCTTTTCAACAGAACATCATATTTTTATTAAAATTTCTTCCTTTAAGTATTTGAATTTTTACTACTATTAGAGATACATATAACATAGAATTTAAGAATATGGTATTATGCAATATTTTGTTGATATAAACAACCTTTTTAACACCCCAAGCTAAGCTATTCTTTACCTGATCCAGATATTAATATAAGATAAGTGTATGGTATTACGAAAGTGCACCAATGGCAATATAAAGTATATTTTTATCTTGTGGATGTTGGAAAAAGATTTTCAGATAGAATCTTCAGGCTTATTTTGATCATTTTATTTTAATGCTGTAAAATGAAATATGTTATTGAGCCAGTCTAATTAGAATAAAACCAAACTTTTGCTTTATTTTTTGTCAACTTTTATTTTTAATTTAGCCACTTCAGTTAGGGTCAAAAGATGGGCCTTTTGAACATTCGTCTATTTGATGACACTTCCAGCCAATTAAATTTCTGCTCTCTCCAACGCTGGGATTTTGTGACACACTTCTTGGAATTCTCTGAAATTTGATTTGAATAGGACATAATATAGATCTGTCTCATAATCAACAGTGCTCTCTAATGGTGTAGTACTTAGAACTTGAAATTCTCTTTGCATTTTCATTTGAATTTCTAAACAGTCAGGGAATAAATCGAAATATTTAATCTCACGAGTGAGTAAGCTTACAACTTGCCAACTTAATTAAATATTTGATAGACTTGACTTCACCAGAGCAAAGCTGTTGGTAATGAGTAGAAGCCGAAAGAGGATATTTTGAATCACATTTATCATAGGAAATTATAATTTAACTGACAGCTACCACACGTCACGTACAACCAAGTTTTTTAACCATCACTGACACATAAATCCAATATATGCTTCCTGTATTGTTTATCCCTTAACAATACACCACAATACAGGTGACAGTTTAAGTGGAAGAGTTTCTCTCAACTTTGATTGCTGACAGACTCAGACATGCTGACAGTCAGCATATGAAAAAGGCAAAGATCAGTGACTTTTTATCCTGGTATAATTTTCTTATGTAACTACTGGTGCCGCACCAGTGTCTGGATTTCACTTAATTTGTGGCACATGTTGGAGACCATTGTGTAATGAAAGGTGAAAAATGACTGTCCATTTTGAAAATTGCCGGTATTTTTAAAAAGATAAATGAGCGTATTGTTTTTAGGGAAATGAATATAATCTGACAAGTGGCAAGGTGACAGCAAGGAGAAGGTTTAGATTAATGCCTTTTAAAACAAGGCAGATGTTTTTTTATGAAAATTATTTCCTCCTTAGTCTTAATGATATTTTCATAAGTAGACTGTTCTTACCTATGAAGATATGAAAGTTGAAACCTATTATAATGTTGGGTATTCGGGGCTGGTGAAAGCACCGGGGGCAGTAAGGGAATAAAGGTTGTAACTTTGTACTATTGACAGTTTCGAAAGCACAGGCACAGGAATATAAGTTTGAATTTGAATCAACAAAATGTGTGTTTATCTTTTTAAGTTCATAACAGTTATGTACAGTTGAAACTGTAGATAATCTGAAATTAGCCAAAGAGAATATCATCTTGGGATCTTTAGATTAAAATGAAAACAAATTAAAAAACATACTGGAAGAAATGTTAAGCAATAGAATTCAGATGGATATTATAAGAAAAAAGGAAACAATATTTGAAGAGGCGTCTATTTATAATAAATTTTGGCAATCTACCATGGACAAAGAGGTCATTTTATATTCTTAATCCGTTAAGGTGATATCTATTGTTATTATGACACTTGGTTTGGAGTTTTCTAAACTTCATTTGACTTACATTAAGAAGTTTGTTCATAATACTCATCCCACGATTGTAGGATGATGTGTTTAGAATTATCTTGAATATTTCTCAGCTCAAATTCAGCTATCTGTATTAGTTTTCAAAATCAAAATCCTACCATTCTCCTATAAAAACTGGAATTTAGATACATGTATTATCAATATTATTTCTATGTTGTTATAAACATTCTCACTGTCAGTTATGACCAATATTATTTCTATGCTGTTATAAACATTCTCACTGTCAGTTATGACAGATAACATGATATAGGTTATTTTTTTATGTGTTTGTGAATTCTCAAAAGCTTGAATTCAGCTTTATTATCTTATGAAGAAATATTTAGGTGACTTGATCCCTTAAAATCCTCCACATCCTTTGAAAATCAATCTGATTAAATTTAGACATAATTTTTATTAACTTTTAGTTTAAATATAGCCACTGTAGTTAGTCTAAAGACAGGTCAAATTAACCTTTCTGACATTAACTGCTTGAATTTATCAAATTCTACACTTTCCAGCACTAGCATTTTGTGAGGCAGTGTTAGGTTAGGTCAAAAGGTTAATTTGTAAACGCACAAGAGGGCTGTCATTAGACCCTAACAGAAGTGGCTATAGAAGCCAGTAAAACAGTTTTGTCTGATTTTAAATCATGGGTGATGCTCAAGCAACAGTAGGTCAAGACTAGCTCAATCCTGGCAAAGGTGGATGTACTTCCTTAAAAACTCTAGCACCAAGTCAGTAAAATATCATGATAAAAATCATGAGCTTATATCGTGACTTTTATGTAGAGTTACATTTTCAATATATATAATTTGTAACAAGATATGAGAGAGGCAATATTGCACAACAAATCAACCTTTACCCAAATTACAAAACTAACATCTAATATAAAAAAAGATTAAGTCTAATGCTTGCAAATGTCTGAATATATCTAATAAGTATATATTGAGTTTTGGAAATGAATGACAAAGGCAGCAAAGAAACAGCATATCGTGGGTGACTACTTGAAACCTCGTATAACGATATATGATGTATTACTTTTCGAGAAAAACGCAAAAAACTATTTTTACGTGTATTTTGTTAAAATCTTTTTTATTATTTTTTTTACCGCTATACGTGGTTTTCATTCTTTGAAAATATAAACCTCGTATAACAAATTGAAATCTCCAGCCTATTGAACCAAAAACATGTATAATAGTACAGCATACGTTTTTCATTTTCATCCACAGAAAAAGAAACATTGAACCTTGTATAATAATATATTTTACGAAGTTTTAAATCTAACTGTATATATATGTGTTATTTAATTAGTGCTTTTTGAGTTATTTACAATCAAGCTAAGAATACGAGCTTTTGATCACAAGATCCGCGCTTTTACGAGCTTTCGAATGGTACCAAAAAGTAAAAATGGCCAAATATGGCATATAACAAGGTTTCAAGAGGTCACCCACCATATTTGTAGGTTTTTTAAATGAATTCTTGTAGTTGACTTAACTTTAATCTGTCAATAATATTGGTTTCGTGTTTTTTCCTTGAATTTTTGGTGAAAAATTGGAGCTGTGAGAATTTAGATGTTAGACAAATTTGTTACATTAATTGTTATATTAATTTGTTACATTAATTGTTATATTAATTTGTTACATTAATTGTTATATTAATTTGTTACATTAATTATTATATTAGTTTGTTACATTAATTGTTATATTAATTTGTTACATTAATTGTTATATTAATTTGTTACATTAATTGTTATATTAATTTGTTACATTAATTGTTATATTAATTTGTTACATTAATTGTTATATTAGTTTGTTACATTAATTGTTATATTAATTTGTTACATTAATTGTTATATTAATTTGTTACATTAATTGTTATATTAATTTGTTACATTAATTGTTATATTTGTTAGTTACATTAATTGTTATATTAATTTGTTACATTAATTGTTATATTAATTTGTTACATTAATTGTTATATTAATTTGTTACATTAATTGTTATATTAGTTTGTTACATTAATTGTTATATTAATTTGTTACATTAATTGTTATATCAATTTGTTACATTAATTGTTATATTAATTTGTTAGATGATAGGGATTGTTAAGAGGTTTTCTAAACTTTGTATGTGTATCTGGGACACTGATAGCAACTATTTGCGCCATTCCAATTTTCATTCTGACCTCTGTGGTCCTTTCAATTCCACTAAAACTAATGCGTTTCATGTCGTCACTAGAAAGGAATTGCATAAACATTAACAGTAGTTATCGGTAGCTCCCCTCTAGTGACGTCATAACACTCGAGTCCGAGTCACAACCGAACTGTAATATTTTCTAGAGTTGAGACTCATGTGACGTAATATTTGACCTAGTTAGAATCTCTGGTCCGACACTCACTATTTGGAGAGTCAAACATGAGTTAACATGATAGTATGGAATGTCTATATATGGTCAAAAGTCCCACCATATTGCCTTAACTCGATCAACTTCGATAGCAACCCTCACTCGGCATGCGCATTGAATATAATTACGTCATTTCTCCATCAACTTTAGCTCGACCACAGAGGTTCAATCGAAGTCACCCTCAGTGTCCCCGATACACATTCACATTAATGTTATGATTTTCCACTTGCCACCCTTTAGCTTATTTGTATTTTTTTATTATTTTAGGCATGCCAATCTACCAAGCAGTCAATATATTAAGACGACAAGATCGTACAATAAAAGGTGTACAAGTATGGTACAGTGATCAGGTTTGTACGTTCCTAATATTTTATTTTGTTTGATAGTAAAGGAAAAGTCTTGATTTTAGACATATAATCTTACATCTTCATAAATGTCATTGTGTGACTTTGGAAGTGCTACGATACATACTAAGTGAATTTTGGTCAAGACTAAAACATAGTCTCTACTTGTGACCTTGGCCAGTGCTTCTATAAGAGATTATCTCTTATAAAACCTTATACTCAAATCTGCTGTTGCTTTTAACACAGTTCTTTGTAGGTGTTATTTGTTTTAGAAGCTTGGCTTCGAACACGAGTGAAAAATTGATCATGTATTGTCATCGGTCTGTCATTCCACTATTAATCATTTCCATGGAACATGGCACAATTCTGAATTGATTTTAGTGCTAAATTTTCGTTGGAGATACTTCTACAATAATAATAATTTTGAAAAATCTTATTTATGATGAAATCCATGTTCTAGATGGAAGAAAATTAAAAAAAAAATTTTCCATTTTGTAATAGCAAGTACTCGAAGGGACAGGTTTGCCATTTCGGTGGGTTGATTTGAGTGTTGAATATATGTAAATAGTCTCCAGCAGTAGTAGAAGTGTATGAAAATCACATAATTTCTTCAAACTAGGAATTTTACTCACTATTTCCATATATATCTCTTCTATATATCATAGAGTATCTTAAATTGGCCTACCTGTCCATTTAATTATGTAAATATGTAATATGATCTTGACCGAAGTTCTGGAAATAACCGGTACTATTTTCAGTTTAACAGAGTAGGATTGATTGATCTAGTAATGGGTTTATAATAGAATTAAATGTTATGAAGGAAGTCATATCATTGAGGAATCCTAACGCTTGCAGTCTTGCCATTTTATTATCTTCTGTCTACCGTGATATTGTAATAGAATACCATTACTCTCAGGAATTTTCAAACAAGCAGGATCAAAATGAAAGAATCTGAATCTGAAATGACACCCTCAATCCATCGATTTCTCATTGATGTAAAGATGAAAAATTTAAATATTTGAAATTTTTCCTGTTATTGATCTACATTTTCACACATATTTTAAAGGCACAGGTTGGCCATTTTTTCTACCAATCATACTTTAGTCTCAGAAACTGGGATTTTTTAGCTGAGCTAATCAGTAAAAGTGTTCACAGCTCACTGTCAAAATTTGAGCCTTCAAATCCTTGTGTGTCAAGAATTATCTGCGTTGGAATGATAATATTATGACTCATCAATTTAAGATACTCTGTGATATATAGAAAAGACATATAAGAAATAGTGAGTAAAAATTCCTAGTTTAGGGTATTTTTAAAGGAATTATGTGATTTTCGTACATTTCTAGTACTTCTGAGGACTATTTACATATATTCAATACTAAAATCAACCCCTCATAATGGCACATCTGTCCCTTTAAGAATTTTTGCATGTGTTTGTGAAATGTCTGGGTATACAAGTAGCATTTCATTATAAAATACTTACTCACTGAAGTTATGACCGATTACTTCCTCAATTGTAAAGTTCATTAGCTGCTACCAATGTTTCGCCAATATGTTGTTTGGATTTTGAGTTTTGTTTTGAAGTTCAAGGACTTTATTCTCCAAAACTTAACTTAATCAAAATCCAGATTTTAAGAAATACAGTAATCTGATTGGATAATAAAACTAAATTTAAAATCAGTTTTAGTGATTGACCAATCAGATGACTGGAACGTTAAGTTAAGTTTCCTTATTACTTGTTTTTTTTATTATTTAGATCATGACTGCGATAAGCAAACCTACCAAACTCTATGTACTGAAACTACTAGATCCTAGAATTGGCCTACCTGACATTGCTTTTGTTAAATCCCAATTTTCTTTCAACTTGATAAAATAAAATTCAACCCTCTGTTAGTATTTCAATATGACATTGTTGATGGCTTTATCAAAAATTTCATAATTGAGATGAAATATCGCCATACTCAGGAAACAGGATTATGATAAAACTGCAATTAATTAAGGTTTTTGCTGATTAGGCATTTTTTTTTTGTTATGATAGGCCGGGTACAAACATCCTCCCCCACCTTCCGAAACTACAAAACAACTTGTTTGTTACTTTTTCACCTGTTTCGTTCATAATACTTAAATTGCTTATCTGTTCCTTTTGATAAATAAAAGTAGTGGGCTAGAATAGTTGAGCTATAAATAACAGGTCGTGCTGCTGTTAATAGATGACTGGTTTCACAGTCGTTTTAAATCAATAACTTGTTGCCAATGTACAGTATACAGTATATATAGATGACCGTAAGAGACAATAGACTTCTCTACTTGTTTTCTTTAATAGAGTTATATTAACGCTTTTCATTTGTGGCAGTCTGGATCTGTGACCATCCTGTTGCTGCTGGTCGGTCAATACTGATTAGATGCTGTGGATCACCAGTTGACCTGATTCCATTTTTATTGTCATTCCAAAAATTGGATTCTGATATTGAGTTAAACTAATGTCAATTCAGCTCTATTCAGCGATGAAGAAAAATTGACATTTAAATATATTTTTTTCAAACAGAATTTTTGTAATCACTTTTCATAGAAAATGGAACTATATTGATCAACTTAAAATTATGTTGTGAAATACGTGAGCTGCCCCATCATTCATGGCGAATAGAGCCAAATCAACAGCCCTTCAATTTCAAGCATTATAAGTGAGCTAACCTCTTCTTCTGTTGAACACTGAGCACTCATTGTCCTTTCAGTATGATATTGGTTTTTGCTAATTAGCATGCCCATTTATTACTGCATTAATACTTAGGCAGATGTATCAGACTTGTATAACGTATAATATGATCAGAAAATGAAAATCCTACATAAGTCTGGCAATGTCAGGCACCTTGAAGATTCCTCCAGTCATCTTCCATAAGATTTTCTTTAGAAAGATTAACATTGTAATATTTTTCATTTCTTGAAGAAGTTTCCCACCGTATTTTCAATCAATAACACCTCTTAACCTTTTTCAATGTTTTTAACAAATTTTTGTTATATCTATGTATTTTCATGGTCAAGTATGTTTTTAATGTTGGTTGTTTTTAAACAACCAAACCCACAGGCTATTCCTTTTTTATTTGAACAGAGAAAAAGAATAGAATATAGACTTTCCATCATTTTCTATGAATCTTAACTGAATATCTCCATATGAGAGTGTATTTCATAAAACTATGAAAGTGTTTTACATAAAACTATGAAACTGTATTTCATTATTAACTATGAAACTGTATTTCATCATTAACTATGAAACTGTATTTCATTATTAACTATGAAACTGTATTTCCTAAAACTATGAAACTGTATGCCATAAAACTATGAAATTATATTTCATAAAACTATGAAATTGTATTCCATATAATTATGAAAGTGTATTTCATAAAACTATGAAATTGTATTTCTTAAAACTATGAGAACTGTATGCCATAAAACTATGAATGTGTATTTCATAAAACTATGAAATTGAATTCCATATAGTTATGAAACTATATTTCTTAAAACTATTAATCTGTATGCCATAAAACTATGAATGTGTATTTCATAAAACTATGAAATTGTATTCCATATAATTATGAAACTGTATTTCTTAAAACTATTAATCTGTATGCCATAAAACTATGAAATTGTATTTCATAAAACTATAAAATTGTATTCCATATAATTATGAAACTGTATTTCTTAAAACTATTAATCTGTATGCCATAAAACTATGAAATTGTATTTCATAAAACTATAAAATTGTATTCCATATAATTATGAAACTGTATTTCTTAAAACTATTAATCTGTATGCCATAAAACTATGAATGTGTATTTCATAAAACTATGAAATTGTATTCCATATAATTATGAAAGTGAATTTCTTAAAAATATGAATGTGTATTTCATGAAACTATGAATGTGTATTTCATAAAACTATGTAACTGTATTTCCTAAAACTATGAAACTACATTTCCTAAAACTATGAATATGAAATTGTATGCCATAAAACTATGACTGTGTATTTCTTAAATCTAAGAAACTGTATTTCCTAAAACTATAAAAAACTGTTTTTCTTAAAACTATGAAATTGTATCCTATGAAATAAGATAACCATCCAAGATACAATCATGAAGTTATCTTGTACAGATCTCTACAACTGAAGCTTTTTGAAATTAATAGGTTGATGGTCCTATTGCTATCATTTCTTTCTCAGAAAACTATTTCACAATGACTTAAAGGCTTAGAATGTGGAAATTTGGTTTTAGATCAATGAAAATGTTTCTCTATAGCTGAATATTTTTGACTTAATCACATGGCACCAAATGTGCTTTCTGTTATGGTGAAATGAAATTTAAAAGAAGGAAAAACTTGATGAAATCCAAATGTTTATTTTTTGACAAAAGGTTTAATCTTTTTTTGTACCATACTTAATGATTGAATGGCAAAACTGATTTTATCTCTTTTTATCAACGAGGCAAATTATATTCTCTTCCACAATAGTCAGCTTACTGTAAAATTAGACTGAGTTTCAATGGACTTGTTATAGAGTTTAGAAAAGGTTAAAAATATACTCTTTAAAATAAAAATCAATAATGGCATAGAATTTGTATTACTGAGTTCTCTATTAATCCTCTACATTCTTGTGGCTTTCAGTGTTTTTGATTCCGTGCGGCAAATATATATATATATCCAGTCTCCAGTAATAACACTGTAATACCATTGTTGAGTGTGTATTTATGTTATATGAGAACTACTGAGATAGTTGGTGGTTTCTATAAATAAATCACACTGTATGAAATTAGATTGCTTATGGTAAAAGTGTTGATAAACAGAACAATTACTTGACCTCATCCCCTGATTTGTTTTTCTTTTGATAAATGAATGAATTGACAATGAATTTAAACAAAATGATCTATACTGCAAGAAAAACATGGACATTTCGCAAGAGGAAATAAAAGATTATTATTATGATTATCAGTCTTTTTGGAAAAACATTGATTGCTCAATGTAGTCACTGGTTGATAGAGAAAGGATTAGTCCCTG